CTCAAGTGAGGTTTATTTAGAATAAACCGGGTTACTGCATGTGCATCTGTGTGTAATCCTTTTTGCATGTGTGTGATTGCTTAATTTTGTTGCATGGTTATATGTTACATTTCAATATATTTGATATGTGCATTTGCATGAATTTGAGAGCAATATGGTTATTTTGTGTAATATGTTTGCATGTATAGTAGGTTGGGATGCATTAGCAGTAAGTGTAATGTGTGTCTTTTGGTAATGTAGAGTGTAGGTGCCTGAGCGTGCATTGGTGATATGTACCGAGGGATGTGGAGAGTAATATTTGGATCATGAGTGGAGAGGTGATTAAATGTTGGAATCCTCTATCTGTGAAGACCCTGATCAAGTGGAATGTGAAAGTGACACTTTTATCACTTATGTTAGGTAGAGACCCATTATCCACTTTAGTTGAGAGAAGTAACGTAGTGATAGAGGATTATCTCGTGGATTTAAAATCTATTGTGATTTACTAGTTAGACATGAGTTTAGTGGCCAGTCTAATGAGCATGATGGGCGATAAGAGGAGATGTGTTTTAGAGATGAAAGCAACGCGGAATGAGATATAATAAGTATCGTAAGATCTTTTCGTGGGGTCATTTATTCAACATATGTGTTTACCATTTGTTTAATTAACTTGGTGTTAGTTTGTTGTTTTTTGTGAACATGTTTTGAAAAGATCTGTGCGTTATCCTATGTTATATCTTCATCGCATGTATGATATGCTATTGATGGATTACTGTGATTATTTATTCCTACTTGGGTTTTTTTTAACCTTAGCTCAGTGAGTACATGGAGCAGGTTTGATATGTGTTTCAGATCCAAAACACAAGGTAATGTCCATGATTCCAATTTTATTGGGTTGCCTTGATTATATAAGTATAAACTATGTTTTGGTTACTTGCAGGATGATTGTGTATCAATGTGGAGATTTGTTGGGTTTTGATATCCAATAAATCCCAGACGATGATGTTACACGTCAGATTATATTTCACAGGTCTCGGTCGATGGGTGAATTGATTATTAACAACCAAGTTAGATTATATTTCAGAAGTCTCGGCCATTGGAAGTAGATTAATGAATTAATGTTGCTAACGACCAATATATTTACCTATTGGATGGCTCTTATTTTTGGCCCATTTATTATTTCCTTGGTCTAATTAGAATCTAACATATCTATATATTGTTGCTTCTTCTTTCAGTCGTGTGTGTGATTGTGAAGAAAAGAGAGAAATCAACTGCTTGCTTTGTGCTTAGAAAATGGTAGTTGACCCTTTGTTATCTTCTTCATCTTTGTGCCTTGTTTTCATTTTTTTCTTTGCCTTTGTGGTTGCAAATCAACACTAATTATCTTATCCTTTGTGGGTGAAATTGAGAAGTAACCGAGGTGAATATATTGATTGTGGGTTGAACGATTTAGATTGGTTGTTGGAAACGAAAGATAATGTGAAACTAAGCTTGAAAATCACCTAATCGAAAATCTTGAATCGAGTTTCCGCAACAGTTTTAATAAGGTTCACAAAGAGGATTTTTTCAGGTTAACATTTACTTTAATTTCCTACTTTGGACATCCTAAAACTATTTGATTAATATTTGTTATATTTAGTATTAATCCCATAGGGTTTATTAAATTTGTTTCATTACTAGTTTCAATGAATTTGAGATATCTAATAGTGATTTGTTGTTGTTGTTATTATTATTATGCAAATAATACTAATATTGAGTCTGTTATTTCTTTTATGTAACAATTGCTTTGTGATCGTCTTGAAAGTTCAAACAACACATCAAAAGTGCAGTGAGTTCATCCCCAAAAATAAAGACTTATTAGAATGTGTAAAGAAATAATACATTAACATATCAACTATCAAAACTCTTATACATTATTCAGGACTGAGTTCAATTATGAGCAATGTAGACTCATTTTAGTATTTTAAGTTGACATGTTAACCTATTGCAACTCTTCTACATTATTCTTAAGTGAGTTCAACTATAAAGAATATAGACTAGTATTTAAAACGCAATTCAGATCTCATTTTCAGAGGTCTTCATCTACAAATGAAATAATAGAATAAGATGTGAAAGAGCAATGCCTTTATACAAGAATGTTTTGATTTTGAGAGATGGAGCTCAATGCTAACATGTCAACTTATCGCAACTCTTTTTCATTATTCATAAGACTCAAGTTGATATTTCTTATATTTCTAATATTTAAGTTGTACGAAATCTCACACTCAGGGGCGGACCCAGGAAATTTTTCTAGTGCAGGCGGTGTTAGTAAAAGTAAAAAAAATATATATTATAACACAAACATTATGTTAAAATGAAATACCTTACAATTGTTCTTTACGATTTTCATACTTTGATATCTTTGTACAATCGCCTAATTATCGATTTTTAAAAATATATCTTTCTCTACATAAATAATAAGAACGGCTAAATGGGGCCTCGACCGCCTTGATGATTAGCCTTTCGTCTTCACGGTGAGGCCTTATTTAGAGAGAACTCGACCCACTCATTGTTCTCAAGGGCGGTGGAAAACTGTGAGAAGAAGTCTTCACCTTATTATTTCTTGAAGATTTCATTTGTTGATGCTCCTTTAGTTGCTACTAATCCATTGACAACGAATTTTCACAGCGCAAATTGAATGTTTCAAATGAGAAAATGTTGGTGCTGTCTGTGATACATTCAGTACCTGTTTCACTTCCTAAATTTTCAGTACAAAGATCCAGACTATTTACAATTAGTTTTTGAAATGAATATTTTCTATAAACATGAGTTTACCTTTTCCATTGCTTCTTTAGGGCATTTTGAAATCTTGGAAAGGCTCTGAAGGAAACTCCAACCACTTGTTTCAAGATTTTCTCTCATGTTTTGTTCACTTCCTACAATGTAGAAGTCCCTGTCCAAGTCTACCATAGTCGATGCAGGCACCACTTTCATCTTTAGGATTGTTGTCTCTGTCAGTTGAGACTCAAAACATGACACAAGACTTTGACAAACTAATGTCGACATGGTGAAATAGGCCAAAATATGATCAAAACTTGAATAAAAAATTAGAAAATTTAAGGGTTGAGGTTGAGGAAGAACAATTGAGAGAGAGAGAGAGAGAGAGAGCGAGCGAGAGAGGAGATGTGGAGAGAAGATTGAATGAGGGATAAGTGAAGGGTTGAGTGTGAATTTGTAGTGCCCAAATGGAATCGTGCTATGACTACCAATAGCAAAACTGGTTATAGTCAAAGGATACTTTTTCGATTGTTCCAACGGGAATCAGAATAACCACTTGCCTAGTTCTCTTTCAAATTCCCAATATCCAAAGACCAAACCTCCTTAACAAGTTGATCTGAAACTCAAATCCATGGCTCCAGTCTCCATATCAAATTCCCAATTTTAAAAAGAGACAACAATTGGAATGCTCCAATCTCCAGATCAACAACACAACTGCACCAGTTTCAGTCTCCAACCTTGCAACAAAAATGCCATTTTTCACCCATCCAAGCTCTTCATGACTTTCGGAAACATTGGTATCCAAAAATCTACTCTAATCAAATCAATCCCAAGAAAATTTTAATTACTTCAACACACATCACTCGATTTCACAATTCAAATCAGCTACTAAAGAAATGCCTTGTGCTCTACAACATTCACTCCAACCAAAGAAGACACCTCGTTCTCTTAGACATTCACTCCAAACCTCTTTGTTTGGACAGGATAAAATCCATATTGAAATGACTATAACCAGTTTTAACTACAACCAGATGAATACCAATAGAAAACTCACCTACCGAGTACCGAACACTGCTGGGCCTGGTTCTGTGGTTCAGATTTCACTCTTCAGACCACCAATCCACCATTAGCATCAACAATCAAATAACTACGAAGTCCAGGTGATGCTGAAACTATGAAACAATAATTCATATAGTTGAAGATAAATTAGGGAGATACAATCAAACAACGCGGTAGAAGAAGAAATCACAAAAAATTGCCCGATCATTACCTCCTTCAATTGATACCCACGGCTTCACTTCTTCAATTTCATGAATTTGGGACCTTGTTTTGGTGGAAATTGGGGATTTCAATTCAATTTTTTTCAATTCTCTATTAGGAGTCCTGGAGTAGGGACGTGCGTGGATGCTTTTGTAACGGATTGCAGAGTTTGGGCCAAAATATTGTCCCACTTTTTTTTTAATCACATTTAGTATTGGACTGTTGAAAAAATTGGGGCAGCCCAAATCCCATGCCTGCACCGTGCTTTGGTTGGGTCCGCCCCCTGTTCACACATATTAATTCATCGTAACTCATATATACTATCTGTAAATGAGTTCAACTATGAAAATGTAGACTTTTATTATGATAAAACGCAATGAAATATAACGCTAACATATCAACTCATTGTAATTCTACTGTCTTTTTTTAAAGTGAATTCAACAAGAAACAACGTAAGCAAGCGGTATGTAACAAAATTTCAAATCTAACGACTTGTCAAGACTCCTCTAAGAGGAATCAAAATCAAGAAGATGAATTTCCTAAAAGACAAAGTAGGACCTCATCCTACCTCACATCACATGCAAACTAGTCCACACACGACACCGCCCTATAATTCTACAAAACAGAATCTCAAAGCTGAAACAAATCAAGAATTAGAAAAAGATAAAAAAGCCATCTCTTACTGTAAAACAGTGCCCACAGCCACTGGTTCCTCCTTTTCCCCTCCCCACTCACTCACACTTTCCCTTTCCCAACACCTTTTTCTTCATCTCAATCCCTTCCTTTGTATTTTCTACCAAATAGTTTCTCCTTGTCTTTTTTTTTTTATTCTTTATAATTTCACCTCCATCACTCAACTTCAATCTTTCGGAAAACCATAAATTCTTTGCTTACGGCGAAGTTTATTCTTTTACCGCTCATGCCCAGTTTATGATTTGTAATGTTTGTATCTATGTGAAGTGGGTTTCGAGAATTTTTTAAGGGTTTGATTTGTCTGAGAAAAAATGGGTACTGAATTGGAAGATGTGGCAGAGTATTCGTTTGCGATGGAATACCAGGGACCGCTAATAACCCGGAACCTACCGCGGGCAGTGCCCATCAATGTGGATCGGATTCCGGTGGCGGCCGTGGTTTCGCCGGTGACGTTACCGGATAAGTTGTCGCTGCCTATTGTACACCCACTATCAGCCACTGAGATAAGCAAGAAATTCTCCAAGGAGTGTAAGTTGGGTTCCTCGTCTGAATTATTGACTGTTTCTCCAACTTCCGTGATATCTTTTGAGCAGGGAAAAGATGGGGTTGGCGAGGGTTCTTTTAGTAAAGAATTAGGTTTAGGGTCTGAAACTTCTGTTTCGCCAAGCTCAGTGAATAATGCATTCGAGGAAAGAGATCCTAGTAATGGTCCCAGTAGCAATAGTAATTGTGTTATATCGGGCGAGTTAAGTAGTGATTTAGGGAGTTCTAATCTTGATTATGGGGCTAATGGAGGGAACGAGTTGGGATTTTCATCCGTCACTCATGACCATTCGCTCGAGATGATCGGCGGTGTTGAGAGTTCTGGTGCATTAGGGTTTTCAGATTGCTCTGAGAAGTCGATGGTAATGTCAGGAAGCTTGCAGAAGAGTGTTTCGAGTGATTGCAAAGAGAGGCTAAATTTTAATGAGTCGAACCAGCAGGATTGGGACTCTAATGAGTCAGTAATGAGTATGGATTACCCATCTTCTCGGATTTCTTCCTGTAAGTTTGGTGATGGGAAAAATGAATCTGGTCGTGATGTTAGGCGAGTCTCATTGGTGAGATTTTGTGATATTGAGTCAGATGATGATGATACGGACAAGGAGTTTAGGCGTGCCGAACCTGAGGTAGTTATGGCAAAGAGAGAACCTGCAATGAAGGTGAGGAAAGGGGCATGTTATCGGTGTTTGAAAGGAAGTAGGTTTACGGAAAAGGAGGTATGTATCGTTTGTGATGCAAAGTATTGTAGTAATTGTGTGCTCAGAGCAATGGGATCTATGCCGGAGGGAAGAAAGTGTATCACATGCCTTGGATTCCCCATTGACGAGTCTAAGCGTGGCAATTTGGGGAAATGCTCTAGGTTGCTCAAACGACTGCTTAATGATTTGGAAATTCAGCAGATTATGAAAGCTGAGAAATTGTGTGAAGTAAATCAATTGCCACCGGAGTACATTTGTGTTAATGGTAGGCCTCTTTATCACGAGGAGCTGGTTATGTTGCAAAGCTGCCCAAATCCACCAAAGAAGCTGAAACCGGGAAATTATTGGTATGACAAAGTATCAGGTCTTTGGGGAAAGGTGAATTTTATAGTTTTAACACATTATTCTAGTATTGTTGCTCCTAATGTTTGCTGTCACTACTCAAGTTAACAAATCTGCTAATCTTAACAGGAAGGAAATAAGCCTTCACAAATTATTAGTCCCCATCTAAATGTTGGGGGTCCCATTATGGCAGATGCTAGCAACGGGAACACTCAAGTTTACATAAATGGTCGTGAGATTACCAAAGTGGAGCTGCGTATGTTAAAGGTTGGCATTTGCGCTCGTGTAAGAAATAGCTTCAGATCTTTCTCGTAGTTGTTAATGTATAGTTCTTGATATTGCAGTTGGCGGGGGTTCAATGTGCTGGTAATCCACATTTTTGGGTGAATGAAGATGGTTCATACCAAGAGGAGGGACAGAAAAATACGAAAGGTTATATCTGGGGAAAGGTGGGATATTTGTTTGATCATGAATGATGCTTCTTTACCGCCACCAAAAATAAAAAAATAAAACATATAAATAGATAAATAAAAGGCTTACTCTTCCTCTCTCTTTACCTGCCATTCTTTTCTCTCACTATTTATGTTACTTTTCAGGCTGGAACAAAGCTTCTTTGTGCTGTACTCTCCCTTCCGGCTCCTTCCAAATCCTCTTCTCCTTGTGGAGAGCAACTGAATAATGTGGTCAGTCGATCATTTCCTGACTACTTTGAGCATAGAGCAATTCAGAAACTTCTTTTGATTGGTAATGGTGGATCTGGGACGAGTACCATATTTAAACAGGTACTTCCTGATGAGAAATTTTCAATCTTGATATTTTGGCCTATTTTAATCCCTTTGTCTATTCTCAGATGGTTGGAATACATCATGGGAAAGATGGTCTTATGACCCTCAAAATTTATCGGTGTTCAAATAATAATAATTTTTGCTCTTATTGTGTTCTCATGCTATTTGGCATCCATATTATTGATGCAATAACCCATTTATTCTCTTAACTGCTTTAACATGCTCCTTAATCCAAAAATCGATATTTTGATATTAAATTAATTGGATAGCTCTAAAATGGGTCTCTATTAGGTATAAGAAGACATCTGCAATCTGGATATTTTAATTTGGCCATCCAAATCATTATTTGATCTTAATGAGGAGAAATGTTGAAATGGTAAAAGTAAAACATAACAAGAAGAGAACTTTTACGTAAAGATGGCACAATTCTTATATCGTTAATACTTTAATTACAGAAAATTTTCAATTTTTTCAATACTTTGTCTAAACAAGCCTGCCCCTAATGTACCAAATCACAAGTTCAGTTAACATTGTGTAAAACACACCTGTTTGATATTATTTGTGGCTGCAAACTCTCGAGTATAATTGTAGAGTTGGCACTTTCTTAACCGAATGATTATGTCTGGTAGCTTGAACATAAAGATCATTAATTTGCCAAAAAAAAAAAAAAAATGGTTAAAGAGGAAGAAGAAGTTGAAAATATTAAAATTTCACTTCATTTATGGCAAAATATATAATGTCTTCATTACTTTCTTGTTACACGTTTCCTTTAGGTATGCACAACTCAGTGCTCAGGACTTGCACTTTCTATACTATCTCAACTTCTAGCCAGTTGCATGCATATACAATTTCAGTTCACTCGTTTACTATTTCCCAAATTTGGTTGCACACTGCCATTGTGGTTCTCTGCTACAAAAATATATATCAGAACCATTTTAATTTATAATATTTCACTTGATCACTCGCTTGATCATCATAGTATTGTCCAAACACAAGTACTCTAGTGCATTTGTAGTAATTGTATCAATGTCAACATGTTTGCTTGTCTGCTGGCACAAGTTAGGAGTTGATAGCTTTGAAGTACATGCTTTTCTCTATTAAGTATCCATATATCAAATTCTTTTTCTCGAATGAGTTCTTTTATGAAGCAGTTTTTGGCATCAATCATGCATGCTTGAAATGTTCGTTCTGTGTGATTCTTCTTCTTTTTTTTGTTTTCGAAAATACCTTGTCAAATTGGCTGCTTATATGATTAAATATTGTTGTATTAGGCCAAAATTCTTTACAAAGACATAGCTTTCTCAGAGGATGAGCGTGACCACATCAAATTGTTGATCCAGACCAATGTGTACAGTTACATTGGAATACTTCTTGAAGGCCGTGAGCATTTTGAAGAAGAAAGTTTGAATAACTTGAGGAAAAATGGTTCTGATGATCATACTGAACTTACTGGTATGTGTTAACTTTATAATGGCTTGTTTCTTTACTCTTCAAAGCATGAAAAAACCATTTAGCTACTAGCTGGGAAGCAAATTTGTTATCTACTGCACTCTGTCTAGCTGTTGAGTTCTCTTGTTTGTTCTTCATTTATTACTTTTCTTATTGAGTTGGTAATTTAGAAGTACAAATATGCAATGTGAAGTTGGGCATTTTGGCTACTAACAGGTTGTGGCGATGGCAATGATGAAAAAACTCCATATTCCATTTGTCCAAGGTTGAAATCATTCTCCGATTGGCTTCTGAAAATTATGGCTTCAGGAACATTGGAAGTGATTTTCCCAGCTGCTACTCGTGAATATGCACCTTTGGTTGAGGAGTTGTGTAGCAATTCAGCCTTCAGAGAAACTTACAATCGGAGAAATGAATTGAAAACTCTTCCCAGTATTGCTAGTTATTTCCTTGAGCGAGTAAGATCATAACTCATTTCACATGCATGCTTGATTGATTAGAATGAATTCACTAGACATATTTAGGTGATTCTTACTAAAATGTTGTAAATCAATTCAAGTAAACCTTCATATTTGGCCTCTTCGATTTCTGGATGGTCTATTTGGGTGCTTCTCAATTAGATTTGTGATCATTTATCTTGTCTAATGTATAATCGAGATGACAAGAGGGGTTTACATTGACCTTGTAGGCTTAATTGTATCATTGTTTAGGTACTTACAAGAGCAAATGTTCCAATAAAATAGAGAACTATCATAAGAAATGATTGCTTTTGGCATTGGTAGTTTGTAGGAATGTGGATCCTTTCAAATTGTAGTGTGTTTCGACATAACCTTCAGATATACATATGTTCTCAATTTTCAGGCAGGAATGAGCAGAAGCATACATTCTCAAGGCTAGCTTCTTTGGCTAGAGAGAAGTGTAGATTAGGTTCATTGACAACATTCATTAGCACTTTGATGAACTGAAACCAAGTTTCCATGTAACTGTATTGATTGGTTTAGATTTGAGAGCTTGGTCACTTATAGTTGTGCAATCTGCGTTTTCTCCTCTTCAGGCTGTTGATATATTGAAACCAGATTATATGCCATCAGATTTGGATATCCTATATGCTGAAGGTGTTACTTCATCCAATGGGCTTTCATGTGTGGACTTTTCATTTCCGGAGCCAGCACATGACGATGATGTTGACAGTGAGGATCCACATGATTCTCTGCTCAGGTACGTCTAATAATTGATATATGCATGTTGACAAAAAAGATCTGTTACACTTGAGCTTTTCGTATTGTAACTTCCCTAATCAACTTCAATCATATAAAACTTGGTTGTGCAGTTTTTCTCTTTTTGACTTTAAACTGAAGTTGTCAAGTATAACAAATAGGAACTTGCTACTTGTTTAGTTCATTATTATGTGCTATAAAACTTAACACTACACCTATATGTACGTGTCAATGTGTTATTGAACATCCATATAAATTATATACATATAAATAGATGAAAAAATGGAGGAATATGGAGCAGAGAGTAGAAGAGTCTAGTGGTTAAACAGATGGATATAGATTGTAGTTCATCCTTTTGAACTTCGACGTAAGTTCTGACTCTTTTTATTTATCCATTTTTCCAAACATATGGATTCAGTGATTGCCCAATCGCCTGGATATTTGGCTCGGCAGTAGACTAGGAAGTTACCTGGTCCCGCCTACTCTAATTATCTACCATGCTTCCAGCCTTATTTTCATTCAAAAACAGTTGGTGTCTGGTCACCTCATGTGCTTAGTAGATACAAATAAATACATTAAACCTCTAGTGTAGTTGGAAATCAGCAGGAAATCACTTTGTCCTAAAAATTTGGTCTCCCATAAAGATCTGGAGAAGATAGAAGAAATTATCACGTGTATACTATGCTTCCTCCCTAACACTCATATGAAATGGGGAAAACAGTTGTGTGCATAGACATCCTTTTTTCTAACATATTTCCAAGATAATAGCTTATGAAGCAAAACTATTCTGACAGTGAAAAATGCCATTCCGTATAAAGTTCTACCTTCAACCCTATGTTAGGCATGCAATAGAAGTTGGTGGAAGGAAAATTGTTTAGAGTGAAATGGAAGAAAGTAATGTTCTCTCATTTGACTGGAAAAGAACTTAAAAGAGGAATTGAACGCCAGGTGGAAAACTGAGTTTGTTGTTTTATTCGACTACGGAAGGTGAATGACAAGCTAAATGTTAAATGTGTGTGTACCATAATTTGTGTATCTACCCTATTATGGCTCATGGTTGATATTATTTTCATGTCGTATCCAGTGGATAATATGATTAATTTCCCACGTTGCAAACCATTTGCCTAGCCTAGGTAAATTTTTCACAATTCAACAGATAATCAACACTTCTACGTGACTTGGCCTGCCTTTTGTGAACATGCTAGAAGTTTTGGGCTTTGACTACTAGCGACTCAATATGACAATTAAGTCACCCATTTTGGCAGTTTTTATGTGGGTGTCGTGAGTTTCTAAGCTTTTCTCTCTCTATTTATTTTTACCTGAAGATTGGGTGCCAAGTGAGGTTCTCAAAATGTCAATAGATTGTTGCTTTAAACGCATAAACATTCATGAATGTTTTGCTAAATTGTGAGATTCAATAGTTGGTCCACTCAATTTGGTTTAGTTGTATTAGATTATTCCATATCAAAACTCTATTTGCACACAAACATCATGTAATGGAACCTCAACCCTATTCACTTCATCCTCCCTGCCACTGACAAACTGAAGAGCACCTCCTCGAAGCATAGCCTACAATATCACTCTTCATAGTCATCATGGTCACCCTTTGTATGGCAACGTAAGGATCATAGTCCAAGTTGTATTTTCTTTGACATCATATTTCATTCTAGAGAAATGTAGTACAAAAACCAAAATGATCATTATCCTCTACTGAACAGTTAACATTGTATAAAACATGAGATTCGCACACATCTTCAGTAACGTATATATCATGGTTGAATAGAATTTATAAAAGAATTCATCATATTAAGATCTGCCCATGGATGTTCATTGGGAAGCTTAAGATGCCAAATTGAATCGATTTTTAGATTTGTATTCCTCGCTCTACACCATGTGAATTAAGCATAAATCACCGAAATACTAAGGTGTAGATATTTGACTACTGTCTTGTTTGTCTGTTTTTATCGATTTGAAGATTTTATGCCTGGTTCTTTAGTATTTTCCAACAATATCTTCTGGTTTCCAGATTTCAGTTGATTAGATTGCAGACTAAAGGTTTCGCAGAAAACTGCAAGTGGCTTGAGATGTTTGAGGATGTTCGACTTGTTATCTTCTGTGTCTCCCTAAGTGACTATAACCAGTATGTTATTGATGGTGAAGGGATCTCCGTCAACAAGATGGTGTTAAGTAAAAAGCTTTTTGAGAGTGTTGTTACTCATCCAACTTTTGATCAGATAGACTTCCTTTTAGTACTAAATAAATTTGACTTATTCGAGGAAATGGTAGAACAGGTTCCTCTAAGTCAGTGTGATTGGTTTGATGATTTTCATCCCGTGATAAGTCGCAATCGCTCCAGCAGCAACAGAAACAACATCAACAACCCATCTCTTGGACAGTTGGCATTTCATTATATTGCTGTTAAGTTCAAGAGGCTGTACTCAGATTTAACTGGTCGAAAGTTGTATGTATCACTAGTGAAGGGGCTGGAGCCAAATAGTGTTGATGCTGCACTAAAGTATTCGAGGGAGATTCTGAATTGGGATGAAGATAGAAACAACTTCAACTCAAGTGAGTATTCGGGCTATAGCATGGAAGCAAATTCCTTCTCTCATTGAAGTCAAGTAAAGAAGTTTATCCCCACCGTACATAAACGCGTGAATGAGCAAACATATTATAGGAACAATTTGGAGTATATTCTTTGTGTTTTCGTTTGTAATGTGAATTTGGGATGCTGGATTGGAAACTGGCAAGTGATTGAAAATTAGTGCCACAATCTTCAGAATGACTTGTGCTGTATTTTTCTCTTGGCATTTCATGTTGTAGGCTAATTCTTGTTATGAAATAGTTTATTCAGTATAGTTGTAAAATTCTGGTGATGAAAAGGAAATTATAGTTCTGTGTAACATGTTCGTGTAGCTTTCCACTTGTGGATTCAACAAATCAGGCAGATGTAATTTGTTTGCCCTGTTTTTATTTTCAATTCCTCGGGTTGGACACTGTCTTGTTCCGTTTAGCATCTCAAATATGTCCGTCTATTCTACTTTGTTACCATGTATAAGGTCCTAGCATCGCTCTCCACTTCTCCTTTTCAATTGCTTGAAGTCTATCCTTGCTATTATTCTTTTTCTCGAAATAATTGCTTAGACGCCTTCCCTTGACCGAGTTATTAAAAAAATGCCGTGATCTAATTTTTGTTTAAAAGGCAATTTTTTGAGTTTGCATGAAATGTTTTACCAATTCTTATAGCATGTTTTGTACATAGTAATGTACTACAGCTCGTGCTTGGTCGAGCACTGGATTGTGCCAGGCAAACACTTGATTTGACTACATTCGAGAAAATCTACTCTACTATTCAGTCTTTAGTACCAAACGCGCCAATTATATTTCAAGATATATGATTTAACAATTCCTCTCGCACAAATATAGAATATTTAATTTTGACATCTTCAGAATGAAGGATTAGGAATCAAGGAATAAGAAAAGGGCAAAGGTAATATTTTACCAAAAAAGGGAGAACATCACCTACTTTCCTCGTTTTAGGAGGTCATAAAAAAAGAGTATAATGAGAATAGAAGTGATTGCTTTTCATTTTTCAGGAAACCCAATTTTCCAGGAAAAGAAAGGAAACAGAACTTTTGAAGAAAGAAAACATATTTCTAAGATAAAAATCGACAAGATTTACCCCTTTTCTCCTAGCTCCCCTTTACTCGCTTAAGAACCTCTAGGAGCAAACGAAAGTAAAACACAAAATCAGTCGGCTACAAAACTATATCGTGCCTGTTCCATTGTGCTCAAAAGAATGTTTGTACATGCCCAACCCAATCTTGACATCTGTTCATTCAGATGGACGAGATTAAGTTGCGCATATTGCTTGCTTTCTTCCTTCAAATTAAGCCATTGCCTGATATTTGACTCCCAGAAATCACATCCTTCAAAATTATTCTCCCAGCTGATTCTATTTAGTAGGAGACCCTTGCGGATGTAACATGCCTACGCATTTCATGAATACAAATCAACAATCGACAGAGACACGAACAAAGCAAGATGGGCTTCAACAGCCATCCCAAAATAACGCTACCTATAACAGTCAGATTAGTCGAACAAAATTTGGTATCTACTTTCATGAAAAAGAAACATTACAAAAGGAAGGATCTGTCACCTGCAATAAACCCATGATAACATCTGAAGTGCCAGCACCTTCCCGTAGACAAAGAAGAACGCCATGCTGCAATTTTGTCGACATTATTGACTATGAGAGGGGCAGATTAACAAGAAATACTTGTAACTGGATCATATTTGGCTAAGCTTAAAAATAAATGAGTTAGATTTCCAATATTGATCAATAAAAAGATTATTTATTTATTTCAATACTTACTTTTCTACTTATAAATTTAACTTACTAAGCTCAACCAAATAAGCTCTAATTCTCAATAAATTTACTAACAGAACATATCAAATAACAGTGCGAGTTCCTTGAATGTACTCACATCCCCTATTTCGTTGAATCCTTTAGTAACGCTCTCCATGCATATGAAGTAGAAATCCTTATCATTTAATGATCGCATTGTCATCATTGATAGCTTCGGTATATGCCTCTTGGGATTTAAGCAACCAATTCTTATGGGCAGTAGCTCCTTGCCTAATGCAAATCTTACTTAGAAGCTATATCTGATATGAAGACAGCAAAAGAAAATGAACTAAAGATATGTATGGCTACGTACAAAGAGAAACGTCACCTTTGCTCCAGAAGAGATCAATGCCTTCCTCTTTACTCACTTCAGCTGGAGAAGGAACATATCCCAGATTAATCCAGGTGTTCATTATTATCTCAAGCCTATCCTGGAGAAGAAAGTAGGAAAAAGATGCTTAAATGCAATATAAGGTTGAATCTGGCGTTGCCAAGGTACTGAAAATATTATGAACCAAAACACGAAAGTAGCAAGTAAAAACAAATTTGTCATCGTAAATAAATAAAGCGGTTTAAGCTATTAGATGGAGTGATTTAACATGATATCAGAGCAGGTAGAAGTCTTGAGTTCAAGTTTCAAAATCATTCAACCACGAAATTTGTGCACGTGTAATTTCTTTGATGAGAAAAGTAAATTTAGCCTGCTCATGAAGGGATGATACGAGTACTAAATTTAAATAAATAACCATGTCCCCTTTAGTAACTTGTTAAACCACCTCATCTAAAAGTTCAAGTTGTTAAAGAGGCGACATACCTATTGAACCACCTCATCTAAATTGTCTTCCTCACCCCTTCACATGCACTCGTGCAGGCTGGAATCGTTATTTATTGAAGGCCAGCCATGTGCAAAATTGTTTTAAATGGGCAGCGGCTAGACTTGAACCAATTCTTTTGCCATATCCGTGTTAACCCACTTTATCTAAAAGCTTAAGCTGTTATAGAGAGATGATATGTTTATTTTAATTTAGTCTTCAAGACAATTGAAATCAAAACATTATTCTGATGAACATAGTAGTTACTTAAGCAGAACATGTGCATGTTGGACATGTTGGGTAGATACAGTGAATTAAAAATTTAATAATGACGTTTTTCTGGATTATTACTTAGAAGCTACTACTTAATGGAAATGACGAGCATACAGAAGATTTAAAAGATGGGGGGAAAATTCATGTAATATGAGATATGCACAAGATAGATGTATGAATTTCAAGAGTAAAGCACTTGCGTCAACTTATGAAAAGAAAAAAAAAACCCAGACATTGAGTTGTGACATGTAACAACATATAGATACAGTATCAACTGATTTATTGCCACAGTTAGAACTAACCTTAGTTAATGTTTGCAGATGTACATATTTAAGCCCTTGATAAATGCCAAAAAGATCAATAGCTGAAAAGATTGGGTACACGACAAATGGTAGACCTGCTAGCAAGCTTTCCAATCAAAAAGTGAGAAAATATAAAGCAAATATTGTCATTTGTCATCAGCATAAAAAATCCTACTTGCACATGAATATGTTCTAATCAACTATTATAAGTAAACTGATTTCTGCCATCAATCTCAGAAGAAATTTACATATGTTAGCAAATATTACATTTTCATGTTAGAAAATGAAATCTCAACACGTGGAGTTAAAAGTGTAAATACTCAAGATGCATCATATTTGCATGAATTCATAAAAAGAAGTCGAGAGCAAGAACCTCTGATTGTTTTTGAACAAAATGTTCAAGATTGCAGCAAGCATCAGGCCAAGATTATCGAAGCACACTGTTTGGATCTGAAATCCAACCGACAATCAGATTGCATATCATAAATCCAACCTTGTTTGAGCCCAATTTTTTAAAACTCGTTTTCTCCCAAACCCATTTTGACCAAACATTCTCCCAATAAATAATTTTGCTCGTAAACCCAAAATTTTTCCATATTTTTGAACCACATATTATCTAAAAAAATCCCTTTTTACGAAATCTATTCATAATAAATGGGGCTCATACAGGGGCTAAATACAATATTCATTACATAATCTTTTATAGTCAACCTGGGCCTTTGCCGAAACTTCTCCAAGATTGTCTGCAATCGCAAAGCTTCGGTAAACAGCAGTCTGTAGAAAATGTGAGAATTAAAATTTTTCATCTAAATACACTGAACTAGTAGGCATGATAGATATAAGGAAAGAAAAGCACATATCCATTATTAGAAATGGGTTCCTCCACCCATCCCACAAAAACCCAAGATGTATTCTCAATAAATTGGGGGTTGATTTCATGAATCCTTTTTTACCATTACATTTGATCCAATGGTACATCTAGTGAAGTTTATGATAAAATCAAATGTTTCGCAAGTAATCTAAATCTCTCTTTTCAAAATGTTCCATTGAAATGCAATGGACATAGGCACTTCTGTAGGTCTACTCAACACATACTCTAACTATGTAGTTGCCCTAATAATTTATGTTCAATTGATGCCACCTCCACTTGTTGGAATTTACCACTATTTCTTATTTTATCCATTCTAATAATGTTGCACATCCATTTAACGTATTCATCTTTATCTATTTATATTTTATCAATATTCTGTCCCTAAAGTCCTTACTTCTATAACATCCAGTATAGTTATTCTAAAAACCAGTTCGTAGAACTTGCCAATTGCCATTTACTTTGGTAGGTATCTTCTAACTAATAAGTAACAAGAATTCCTATAACATTTCTCAATTTCATCCAACATCCTCTGATCATAAGCATTATATTCTTGTCATATCACCATTCCTTAGTAATAATCAAATCTAGCTACACAATTGGGACAACATGATCCCTCGTTATGTCATCCTTTCTAGTTTCTACGACAAAAGGCAGTTTATACATTCTGTCTTAGTCTTATTTAACCTAGTACCTTCAAATTCTAAAGTGCTTCAAATTTTCAAGTGACCAATTATCCCCTCTTCGTATCATCAACTAAAACTAGGTTGTGAATAATAACCTTGGCATGAGACATCAAATCAATGAATAACCTGCAACAAGAAACCTCCTCTTAGATATACGTCCTAAGTTCATCATTTCTCAGCAAAAATTCTAGGAGTTACAGCAGAACTTTAAGCAAACATAAAGTAATAGTGTATTCTCTACACTCTACAGTTATCTGTACTAGATTGTACACTTGTGGCTACTCCAACATACATATCTTTGATAGAATTGACATATTTAACAGAAATTCCTTTTTAAGTCAAGAAAATAGTAACAGAAAGAAGGAAAAATCAAGATATTTTTTTTACATGGGTGGACCCCTATAATCCGGATTCATGTCTAATTTGGAAATCAATTTATATTGGGCACATAATTATGCATCAGACGTTTCATGATATTTACAGATTTATCAGCCCTAGAGAAGATGTATATTGCTTTTACATGAACTAATACATATAAGTGATAGCTTCATTTAATTTACAGAAACTATTAAAAATTCAACTCCAGTTTTAAAAAAGCTTAGCACTTAAATTGAAAAAGAATTAGCATCATGGCATCCAAAACATGAAATCAATAAAAGGTATTAGAGAAGAGATGGCAACTAAGAGTAAAAGCAAGAAGGTATGATCATGCTAATTCATCAGCAATTCAAGAGATTATTAACTGAAACAAATATCATAGAACATTAAATTAAAAAAAGATCATATGAGGTAGGATGTGTATAAAACATTCTTGTACTAAAACTTACACCAGTTGCTAAGTAGCAGGCCAGGCATATCTGCTTAGCAATGTTTGCAATTGTTGCAAGAAGCAGGAAATACTCGGGAAAGACTGGAGTCAACAACTCAACTCCAATGCTCAAACTAAACAGAACAGATGTTGAGAACCTAACCCTCTTCAGTTAAAAGAAAGCCGCATCAGAAACTCATCAACTTTGGCCCCAATTCATCTTCATATACAACAAGATAATTTCCAAAAATTCTCACCAAATACACTATGCCGTCAGTTGAAAGTTATCAAAAATTAATAATTTGCGATATTTATAGATACTTTGGACAACATATGTAGTTATCTTCATTTATTCAAAATTAGAAATAAAATGAGGTAATACGTGGTTAAGAAGGTCCAAATAGAATTAACTAATTAAATAAACAAAATAAATAAAAAAATAATAAGTGGAGAATGTATGTTGCCACCACTCCCTTGAGGTGCAAAAGCTATACCTTCAGATTGGTATCGAAAGCAGATGCGAGGGTAGCAGTAAAGATGCATCTGCTCAGCCTCCCAAGTCCTTCCTTCAAGACCCAATTTAGGGCAGCAGCAGATGCGAGTGCACGAGATTTGCCAATCCCAATTGCCCGAAACATTGCCTAAATATACCCATTCAATATCACTATCAATTATATATAATAGACTGAAATGTGTTATGAACAGGTAAAAACAGAATTAGAGGATAAAAGAATAACACTGATATGAACACAGCCACACTCAAACAGACACATTGATTGACTTTAAGATAGACTAGCAGCTAAAAGATTGTTAGTATAATCGAAGTAGAATACATGAAATATATGCAGTCCTTAAGTTCACAACTGAATTCTTGCATTTTAGTTATTAAGTCAGCTCATATCAAGGCAATTATCCACATAAGACACTTACACTTCATTATTTTCTTTACTTTATGGGGGGAAAAAGGAAAGAATCATCTAGCTCAAAGTGATAAATCATAAATATGAATTCAAAGACTTAACTTTTCCAAATACCATCAAGCCAGAAGCTAAATTTACATTGTAGCAAGAAACTGAAATTAATACTGGGATTAGCAGAATCATTAACGTCCAATCCAAGGACTTGACCTACATTAAATTAGCCCATTAAGTTACCCCCTGAAGCTCAAAATATTGAATACATGGATAACAAGAACCTGATGAGCAGAATTGATATTTCTATGAAAGTTATCCAAAATTATCCCAAAGACTTGATTTTTCAATTAATTCAGAAACTTATTAACCATATTAGAAATACCTGAGTAGCAAGAACCTGAAGAGCAGAGCTGAAAACTCTATGCAAGAATTTCCATTTCACATATCCCAAGTAATTATCAGACACTTCCCTGGGGAGAAAAAAGTCCCTCACAGCAGACCGACAAACTCTGCTCAATTTCCCCACCCCACCTCCAAAATCAACAGAAAAATCCCTAAGAGAAAATGCATTAATCCCATCAACAGAGACAAGTTTCAGGTCATTTCCATCCCAAAAGTACCTTGAAACAGCTCCTGAGTGTCGGATTACAACTGGGAGACTGACTTTTTCTTGAGCACTACTGTTGTTGAGGCTGAGTTTTAGATTTTCTTCTTGAAATTCATGGTTGAAGCTGGAGGTTTTTAAAGAGTTTGAGAGAGTTGAGGGTTTAAGAGAGGTTTTGGGTCTAATCTTGAGTTTGCGAATTGGCGTCCATGGTGAGTGAATGTGTGAAGATGAAGACGAACATGTGCATACTTTCACTTGCATAAGGATTGAAAACTGACTCTGTGTGTGTGTGTGTGTGTGTGTGAAGCCGAAGAGGATTATCGAACAAATTCAAGTTCCAGGAACTTTACAGGCTAGATAGAAGAAGATATTCAAAAGGTCAAGCTCGGGAGTCGGGACAGAGTCATATTATTTTGTTTCTAATTGAATAGACCAATTTGAACATTAAAGATCGATAAATAGTTTTTTTGTGTAATTTTTCCTTAAAATTAGGGTTGTATTTCTTAGACATGTTTTACTGTTTTTCAAAACTTCTTTCCATTTTATTTTTTATTTTCGTCAAAAATGCTTTTTGAAATAGTGATTTGGTGGAGAGTGTATGGTCGAAAATAAAGAAAAGTTTTGAATTTACATATAATATTATTTTACGAATTGAATTATAGAATAATGATGTGAATTATATTAATTGATTTTTTATTTTCATTTTCATTTTCATTTTCTCTTTCTTTCATGTCATCGTTCTGTACAAATTGCAGTACCCTACTCAAAAATATGTCAAAGATATTTAGCAATTTCCAATAATTCTAAACAAAGGTACAATAGAGGTGCTTTCAATTAACCCCAAATTATCATAAAGATCGATTCATTTTTGGAGAAAAAGAGGGGAAATTGAACTTATTTCTATGAAATTACGATATGTTAAGTGTATGTATAAGTTGGCCTTTTTTCTAGCAAAAAAGTGGAAGAATCTATTGTTACTTTGCTCCTTGTCAAAGCAAAACAATCAGAGAAAAAGTCCAATTTTTCCTTAAAATTTGGGTTGTGTATTTCTTAAACATTTTTTTATTGTTTTTCAAAACTTCTTTCCATTTTTTTTTTTTTTTGTGTCAAAAATGCATTTTGAAATAGTAATTTGGTGAAAAATGTATTATGAAAAATAAAGCAAATTTTTTGATTTACATGTAATATTATTTTACGGATTGATTTACAGAATAATGATGTGAATTATATTAATGGATTTTTTATTTTCTTTCTCTCTCTCTTTCATGTCATCGTTCCGTATACGAGTGTCCAAAAGTCTCGAACCGAACCGAACCGAACCCGAACTGAACCGAGCGGTTCTTCATAAATTACTAAATTGCCGAACGGATACCCGAATCGAAAATCGATGGGTTTGGGTCGGGTCTCGGGTCTAGACCAAGAACCAAAGAATCGAATAAAAATCGAAACTAATTAATTTTTTTATTTTTATATTGAATTAATTAAATTATTTTATTTTTTTATACAAATTTGCAAATTAATTAAATAAATTAGATTATTTCATAATTTTAATTTTAAAGTCCAAATCATTTTTAAAATCCATTAGCCCATTTTAATTTGAAACAGATGAATATACTTAATGTAGTTTTGCTGTAATATTAATATCTACTTTTTGGTATTTGTATGCATTGAATTAATCTTATTGGACTGCTAGTTATTTATATGCTTTTGAATTGGGTTACGTTAATTTGTAAAAATTACGAATGAAATGTCATTAGTTGTATTTATGTACTGTTGCTGAAAATATTAAAAAAATTGATTATGGTACGAAATCGAACGGAACGGAACCGACCCGACCCGAATGGTTCCATAATTATATTTGGACCCGACAGTCCATTTATCAAATACCCGAAAGTTTTGGGTAGGTTCGGGTCTCTTCAGAACCGAACCGAACCGACCCACGGACAGCCCTAGTTCGGTACAAATTGCATTACCCTACTCAAAAATATGTCAAAGATATCGAGCAATTTCCAATAATTCTAAACAAATGTACGTTAAGTGGTGCTTACAGTTAACCCCAAATTATCATAAAGATCAATTCATTTTTGGAGAAAAAAAGAGGAAATTGAACTTATTTCTATGAAAATTAGTATGTATAAGTTGGCCCTTTTTCTTGCAAAAAAGTGGGAGAATCTATTGTTGCTTTGCTCCTTGTCGAAGCAAATCAATTAGAAAAAAGTCCAATTTTTCCTTAAAATTTGGGTTGTGTATTTCTTAGACATTTTTTATTGTTTTTCAAAACTTCTTTCCATTTTTTTTTTTTATCAAAAATGCATTTTGGAATAGTGATTTGGTGGAGAGTGTATGCTGAAAAATAAAGAAAAGTTTTTGGTTTACATGTAATATTATTTTACAAATTGATTTTCAGAATAATGATGTGACTTATATTAATTGATTTTTTATTTTCTTTTTCCTTTTCTCTCTCTTTCATGTCATCGTTCTGTACAAATTGTATTACCCTACTCGAAAGTATGTCAAAAGATATTAAGCAATTTCCAATAATTCTAAACAAAGGTACGATAAGTGCTGCTTTCAATTAACCCCAAATTATCATAAAGATCGATTCATTTTCGGAGAAAAACAGAGGAAATTGAACTTATTTCTATGAAAATCACGATATGTTATGCGTATGTATAAGTTGGCCTTTTTTCTAGCAAAAAAGTGGAAGAATCTATTGTTGCTTTGCTCCTTGTCAAGCAAAACAATCAGAAAAAAGTCCAATTACAATGGACAATGACATGAAATTTGAACTTTGGCGTCAATTCCTGTCAAGATATTAGGTTGGGGAAAATTGTTACTAATGTTAAAGGTTTGTGACCACTGCAATTTTCTTATTTAAAATAAACAATAAAACGTAAAATTGTTCGTAAAATAAATCAATTGACAAAGAATCTCCAGAAGAAAAGAAAAAAAATCTTTGATGCATAAGCCAATAAAAAACTATTACATTAATTCACTAAATCACAAATCGTCACATATATGCAACGTAGGAAGACTTCCGATAGTCTTCATTGCAAATATCATTATTCTTGATAAAACTAAATTAGTGAAAGTAATAATCGGGCATGAATGAGTTCTTTTCCATGGCATCAATCATGTAAAGGAGGACCCAAAATCACAGGCTTTACTGCCTCTTCTGCAAGCTTCTCCAATATGAAATCACACAAAATCTGGCATTGGCCTGTAAATAATCTCCATATTTGTTCTGCGAATGTTCTGAACAATCCAAAAGGAACAATAAACCTCAACAATCTGCATGGAATTTCCAGTAAATGAAGACTGGTTTCTCTTTCGTCCATTACTTGGATCATCTTGTTTTCTTGCATTTGTATTAATATGCCTTTCTTCTCTTTATCTTTTAACGCAGAAGCTTAAACCAAAAAGTTACGATACAAAGAGTGCACTAGAAAATAAGCAAAGAATACCTACCTGCTACGATTCTAACTTGGATTCTCTTAGGTTTTAATCAATGTTAAGAATTAAGGTTTTGGGGTGCACGTTATTTATAGGAGAAAAGTAATTGAGGTGTTCTAATCCTTTAATGAAAAGGAAAGATATCTTGCTTGAAAGGGATTATTTGATAATCACTTTTTTCCATTCACACATTTTTCGAAAATATTATTTTTTAAATGTTCCCATAATTTTCCCTACTTTCTAATTGTATATTCTCCAAAAAAAAATCACTTTAATCACTTCCATACATGGACAAGGGTGAAAGGGATTGTTTTCAGAAGGTATGTTGGGATGTTTCCCTATTTGAACATAGTTTCACACCAAATTTGCATACATATAATCGCACACTATATACTTTTTAGACAAAGAAATTTGAAAATTTGGAGTAAACTTGAGCAAAATATTTGAAAAATTGGATTAAACATGGCAAATTGTTATGAACTTTATGTGGGTTTTAAATGAGAAGTAATCAAATTCCAGATTTCGACCAAAAAAAAAAAAACTTAGGGTTAAAAATTCAAATGGCCATTGAACTTTGTACAATATACTTCATCAATCATGAAACTTTATATTTTTTTGAATGGTTACCAAACTTATCAAATCGTTATCTCATTGACCATTAAACTTTAAATTTTTTTTAGATAGTCTCTGAACTTATCAAATCATTATTTCATCAATTACTCAATAACTTAATGTTAAAAAAATTGATGAACTCCCTAACCTAACACATTATTTTGTTAGTTGACGATAAATCAACTAAAAATGTGCTTTCATCTATTAAAAGTGTTTATAAAAACGTCATTGAATTATTATTTTTGCCCCCTTTTACCCTTATATATTTACATATATACCCAATATACCCTCATGATTTACAAAAATAAAAAATTGAAAAGTTGCGTTAATATTTTATATTTATTATATACCCTTATTTAAAACTTATTTTGATTGGCAGTTACATATGAATATACATAAGTTTAGATAAAAACGAAATACCAAATGATTCAATTTATCACCTCTAAATAAAATAATTAATAATTATTACTTTCAAAAATTAAGTTAATTTCCACTAAACACAATTATTACTAAGTATTAGTATACAATTATATATAATTCACTACGAAATACCATTATCAATGTAGAATTAATCGTTGGACAACATGCAGGAAAACAAGTTTTCCTTCCACGTATCCCATTAACTCAAGCAAATGATGAAGGATATCCATTCAAATTCAAAATGCAACAATTTCAAATACATTTATGCTTTGCATTGACTATTAACGAGCTCAAGGACAAACAGTGCCACTATTGGAATATATCTTCATAAACATATATTATCTCGTGGGCAACTATATGTCGTAGTTTCTCACGTAGTTTCTATGCAAACAATAAAAGCTTTGATAAAAGCAGAAAATAAAAAGAAGAAACGATGTGGGACATCAACAAAAAAATATTATGTACAAAAAAGTATTATTGTAATCATAACATAACATTTAAATTTATTCAACAACGTCACATTACATACATAATGTCATAAAATGGTTTATATATATTAAAATTTTAATTTCTCCTTTAACAATATCATTATCTCAACTACTTTAAAAACATTAATAGTACTTCATTCATCCGATTCATAAAACGAGCAGTGCACGTTCTTACTACTAGTCATTCTAAAAGTAGGGATCAATTGAAAACATATACACTGGTGTTATATCACCAACACTGCTACACAACTTTATTAATTTAACTTATAAAATTAATTATAATTTTTT